CTCCATTTTTTGTGTGTGATCCAAGTGAGTTTTATAACAGTTAGAAGCAGTTTCAGGTTTTACAGTAAATGGAACACAAGCCAGACAGAGTCCACAGCCCATTTGACTTGGGTTTTGCAGCCCAGCAGTGATGGACTGTATGTCTGAGCCTCTGGGAGACAGAACTCCCGAGAGAAAATTTCTGGCTTTGCAGGCCGTCCCCTCCCCCACCCCCTAGTTGGGTGGCGTGGTCGATGGTACTGGTCAACCCCATTGGCTGAATCAAATTCACCTGACCTAGATGCGACAATTCAGGTGTACCGCCACCTAGGTGCACAACCCCTTCCTGGCTGGGAACATGAGTATAACCTGCACTCCAACCCCTATGGCTGGCTAGGCTAGCCTGATTCCCTGCAGGGATCTCCTATAGGGGCACCTTGGCACAGAGAGGGACAACTCCCTACCTGGCTACCTGAGCAGTATCTTCAGCCCACCATGCTCCCCATGGCATTGATGGCATGGCTGCAACTCTGTGCCCTTCTCTCCGGCCCCATCCAGGCTGCGTGTGAAACGTTTCTTGCGGGGCTAATACCTTGGTTCTTTGCTGCGCACGAGATAGAGTTGACGCCGACGCCTAGTCTGTAATCCAAGTGGGTTTTCACAAAGGACAGGAGAAGTTTCAGGTCTCAAAAGAATACGTGCTGTTTTAGGGAAGCGTGGAAGCCGCGCTGGGGCCAGGAACTGAATACGGACAAGGTCATGGGACTGCACAAGGTCATAGGACTGCACACCCACACGCAGTTACCTGGAGCCTGAGAGCTAGCAGCACGGCCAAGTTGGCGCAGGAGCAGATCAAAGAGAGGAGGGAATCCTCTCTGAGCTGCCATTGACCGGAAGCGTGGTCCAAGAGCCCAAACTCCATTTGCAAAGTGAAATTTGTCACCAAAAAAAAATGTTAGCACTGACCCTCGTGGGTGGGAAACTAACACTGAGGGACATATGGTGAGGTCTATATTCCCCAATTCATAACGGAGGGAATCTGGAAAGCTAGCATTCCCTGGGAGGAAAGCCTCCACCTTGTTGAGTCAGATAGTCCACATACATCATCCTGCTTCAAATATCGTTCCCAGCAATTCCCCCTGACCAGCTATGCTGCCTTAAAGTGAGCACAGGGTTGATTTTAGGTCCCTACAGGAGCAGACACCCTGTTGCTGCCTCTTCCCACCCTGTCACCCTGCCCCACTCACATCTTCCCCCAATGCAGGGCTGATGTTTCCTCACCTGTGAGCTCAGGGACCTGACTGTTGATGCCACCCACTTTGTGACATATGTAACGATGGAACATGCATGTCTTTTGGGCACCTGTAAATATCCCAAGATAGTAAAGACAGCCTCGCTTCTCTCCCACTTCCACGTGGACCACCAGGAGGGGCTGAGGTGAGCATGCTACCATAAAATGTG